GGTGGAGCTAGTGCGGGTCTGGGTTCGCTCGTTACGGCTGTGAGAATCTGAAAAACATGGCAACCGGTTGCTTACCTGTGGTTGGGTACAAGTAGCCAGGGGTGGGGCATGGGTGCGTATCGGTGGAATATGGGTGGGTCCTTGTGGCCACCGATGGAGCTAGTGTGGGACTAGGCTTGGCTCGTTACGGGTGTGGGGATCTAAACAGACCGGCACCCAGTTGGGAACAGGTGGCCAGAAAACTTACCTGCGGGTGGGGCTGTGTATGTTGGGCAAAGGTCAGGTTTGCGAGCACTGAAAGGAGATGCGAAAAAAAAAGAAATGAAAGAGCAGATATATGAAATTGGAGAGGCAAATAGGTAAATAAATAAAGTGGGAAAAACAGGGAAAACGGAAAAATAGGGCATGAAAGTCGAGAAAGAAAAGACCATGTAGCATGCCAAATGGAGGGCAAAAGAGAAAATACTAAACTAGATTCAGAGAATAAAGGAAGAAAGGAGAGAAGATACCTGGCTGCAAGGCTGGATGATAAGTACCATTTGTTGCCAGAGGCAAAGTTTGAAGCTTGTCCGAGGCAAACACTGCCAGGGTCACCTCTTTGAAAGAAGCATGCCCATGGTAGCCAGATTGGACTGGTGTCAAACATAGGTCTATGTTATGTAGCCCGTAGTGGACAAGGGCTAATTGTTGGTCTAGGTGATGTGAACCAATGGAGGTGAGATAGCACAAGGTCCATACCTAGAGGTCCTGATGTCATTGGATCATTTGTTATCAAGACCGAGAGATAGAAATGTCGATCTCGCAACATGGAAAAGAGGAGGGGTGTGACTAACCATTCCATGAGACTAACATGCATAACCTTATAGCCTTATCCATGTCCCAAAGAACTTATGCTGAACATAGAAAGAAAGAGACTGCAGGACAGATCTTGGCGCTGTGACAAACTGCTTCATTGCAGACATAGTGCTGAAGGCTGCACACTAAGTGCCAAAGTTCTTCTTCTTCCTTCTTCTTCCTTCTTCTTCCTTCTTCTTTCTTCTTCTTCCTTCTTCCTCCTCCGCCTCCTCCTCCTCCTCCTTCTTCTTTTTCTTCTTATCCTCCTTCCTCCTCCCCCTCTTCCTCCTCTTCTCATTTTTCTTCTGTCTCCTTCCTCCTCCTCCTCCTCCTCTTCCTCCTCCTGCTCTTGATGCTGCTGCTGCTGATTACAAGCAATGCAGGATGTCTTGCTGCTCCCTTTTTGCGGGTAATATATGGAGGGATAGTCTGTGAATGTCAGTATACGGTATACCTCTAAGGCTCTAACCTGTATGCGTTGTTTCTTTTCCCTTTTTAAATAAGAAAGCACGAATAATATTTATTGCTGGAAACCAGGTCCGGCGTCCCTTACATGGATCAACTCAGTCAAAACGTCCCTCCGTTTTGGCTGAGAGACCCTGAGTCAGCGGCATATTGATGATTTGCTCAGTAGGAAGGATTTACCACTGCTCCGCCCTTGTTCTTTCTGTGTAACTGCTCCATCTAGGGTTTCGTGGAGGCCTTGCCCATGGGCAGCTCCTGTCAGCCATGCCAGGCTGTCTGATATCCTGTTTAGGTTCTAGAGTTGCTAAAGCTAACCAGTTAAGAGAGCTATTGGATTGATGTTTCTTCCAAGCTTCTGCGCTGTTGACTGGCTTTGCGTCGGACATAAACTGTTGTTCCTGGAGCTGACGTCTATTTGGAATAGCGAATCCAGATGGGTTCTTCCTGGACTGAGGATCAAAGAAATCACCATCAGTCATCCACTAGAGATGATATAGATTTCTTAATCAACATCAGAGCACTAGGAAAGAATCAACACCATACTTGTGGCGCACTGCTGCGCTGCGAGGTGCGCGGGCATCAGTGTGCGCTGCACTATGTGCTGCATGGGTCTTAGGTGCGCGCTGCATGGGTGCGCGTGTAGGTGTGCAAAACATGCACATCAGTGCGCATGGTGCACATAGTTTTATTTTTATTTTTAAGGGGGGGGGGGGGGTTGGCGGCACGGTTGTATAGGCTTATGGGCGGTTCAAAGCCTGTTCTCTTTATTATGTTTCTTTTTTGTGAAGTTCATGAGGGCAGCACAGGATAAACACGGTCCATATTAGTCTCGAATGGCAATGTAGTTACCAGCAGCACACCGAACTTGACCGACGAGGTGTTGGTTGCAGCATGCAGAACTCACCTGTTGGCCGTGATGTGCATGTGAAGGCAATGTGCAGCATCTCCGCACACAGCCATCAACAAAAGCAATAACCAACCAGACTTGGATCAGTGAGTGAAACAGACATGTTGCACATTGCAAAATGAAACGCATTCAAATTTCAAAATCTCAAACAACTGGAGGAGGAGGAGACCAATGACGAAGTAGGGCGAAGCGGGAAGATCGTAGTTGCCGATGCCATGGCAACCGATGGTGAAGTAGGACAAAGTGGGAAGATCGCGGAGGAGAATAGGGATGAAAAGCAAGACGACAAGCAATGGAGGAGAACATGTATGACGAGGGAGGAGAGAGGAGGGAGGAGGGAGGGGGGAGGAGGGAGGAGGAGACAGGTGATGGGAGGTGGACGGAGGAGGAGGGAGGAGAAGTATGACGAAGGAGGATGGAGGAGAAGAATGACGAGGGAGGAGGGACAAAGCAGGGGGAGGAGGGAGCAGTGAGAAGTATGACGAAGGAGGAGGAAGGACAAGTATGGCGAAGATGGAGGGATGGAGGAAAGACGAGGGAGGGGAAAGGAGAAGAACGAGGATGGAAGAGCAGTATGACAAATGAGAGAGGAGGGAGGGAGGAGGAGGAGAAGGAGGAGGAGCAGCTGCACCGTTTTCATGGAGAGAGAGAGAGAGAGA